ATAGGTGACACTGATGCATCAGACTTTTTTTGAAGTAACACTGAACTTTCAGGCTTTTTTCCTAGGCGACCTTATCGATCAGGGTCTAGGGCCAGAGGGACCCTGATACCCTTACGTGCCTCAAAGTGAATCTGAGGGCCTGGTGCAGAGATCCAGCTCGGTCCCCGCTGGCCGCTGAAGGGGCTGTGCACAGGGGCCTTGTTATCAAACCAATTTGGTCTGATAGTCTGACTTTCAGACTTAATTTCCTTTGTTCATCTTACTTGTAAGATTTTATTTTTATGTCCGTCCGATCACTAAGACAAATGTTTTTACTTCAGATGAAATTTCAGACCAAATGATATTATTCATATGAGTTTCCGGATAACGAGTACGATTCCGTCTGAAACTGACATTTCGGGCCACTAGGCCATAGGGCCACTAGGTACGGTACCTACCAGCCTGTATAGATGCATGCGTAATAAATGTGTATGTCTCGTAGCTTCCGCGCTGGCGAAAACCAACACCGCTGGCAGCAGTGATGAATCGGATGCTGCCAGCATTTTGTCGCTGCGTGGGTGTCGGCGCCGCTGCCACCTATATCAAGAGACTGACACTGTAAGCTTTTGCAGCATAGTCCTTTCCTTGAACAAAACGCCAGGAAAGGCGTTTCGTGTATGCATCACGCATGCACGTAACTGTGGTTCCCGGCCCCCAACCCCCCCATGCATCACTCTGCCGCGCTACGAGATGAGAGTTTGAGGGACCACGCTGGGGGCACTCCCTCCATCTTGCTCATAATTTTCTTGCAGTACACTCAGTTGGTCTTGCAGTGCAACTAATCACCCGCAACATACCTCCCGATGGCCATTTCTCCCGAGGAAGACCCCCCTTGAGTCTCAGCATTAGATATCCTCACTCGGGGCAAGCAGATCCCCGACGTTGCACCACCCCCCGTTGCCTCATCCTCCGCGCAGGTTCCACCGCCAGTCAACGCCTCGCCCAAAGCTGTGCCTTCCTCACATGGCATGCCCTCAACATCTAATGCTGCCACACCCATTTCGCCGTGTTGTGATTCATCTGGCCGTGAATCCCACCAACCTGCTGTTTCGATTGCAACAACCGAGACTCTACGAGCTAACCCCGTGCTGCCTGACAGGGCTTCACTAAAAGCTAAATACAAGCAACGGAGGCTTGAATTTGCACGTCCCGCAGGTCCTATGCTGCCCGCGCCATCAAAGACGATCCCACCCGTGACTCATCACTCCGCCGATGACGGTGACGAAGACGAGGACAAGGACAAGGGTCGGCGTCAGCTGTCTGTGGAAGTTTTGCAGCTCAAATGTAAGGAGCAGTGGCAGCGCTACTTCCTGTGGCTCTTGATCAGTGAGTCCAAGGACAGGCGACCTTGCATGCGCTGCAACGTCTATATGGTGTTCGGCGACCCGCACTACAAGTACGGCCGCTACGGTGAAGGCGGCCTCGACATTCAGGAGCAGACGATGCGCAAGCATAGCATCAAGCATATGGCGGCGGTGCTGCACGCGACGGCCAGAAGAAAGGCAAGAAGTCCATCATCGACTTCGACAAGGGGGGACGACAATGGCAAGCGCATTGCTCGATTGATGGCAATCGCTTTGTTCATTTGCAAATCTTGTGCTTTTCGTGGCTCTTGTTCAATTCATGGCTGAGCAGGGCACTACTGACATGCCGTTGAAGGAAAACGGCACGTACTACAGCGAGTGAGAAATGTCTTTGTATCCCGCATGTCTTTGTATTTCCGCTCCACATTGCTCATGGCTTCATTATTTGTTTATGCGTTACAGGTACGGTTTTGCTCAGCTTGTGGAAACGATGGTGTCATACCTGTGTCAGAAATAAGAAGTGATGAACTAGGAAGTTGTAGGAGTACAAGTAGCAAACCCTAGTGAAATGTACCCCCTAAAGGCTAACCCAATGTAGCCTACACAACAGAAACATATATAATGTTTGACACACCCCCATAGGCTAAGTGGGGGAGAACAAGGGGTCACAGGACCAGTCAAGAAAACCAAAGCAAGCTCAGGGTGGATCACAACGTCACCACACACTCTGAGCACAAGCAAATGACCACAAGGCCAGTTCACATGCAGAGGCATATATGTAGCACAAACATCACAGTGATCTATGTCTAGCAAGTATGCAGGTATAGATATATAGATCACAGTACAGGCAAAGTCTACAACAAGTGAGGAAAAGTGGGCACAAGCCCTAGCAAAGTGCAGAAACGCTGATGATCACCAGACTGAAGTGCCTTGGTGAATATATCAGCAGTGTTGGCCTGAGAGGCCACAAAACGCAGACGAAGCTGACCACGCTGCTATAACTCTCGAGCCAGAAAGTAACGTAGAGCGATGTGCTTCGTCCTGTGCTCCAGTCTGTGCTCCTCACACAAGGCAATGGCAGCCTTGTTGTCGACGTACAGCACTGGATGAGAACTAGGCCGCTTTCCCAGGTCGGTCAGCAGGTAGGTGAGCTAGCGTAACTCCTGTGCAGCCATGGCCGTGGCGTAGATCTCAGCCTCACAACTGGAGCTGAGAACTGAAGACGAACAAGTAGAACGCCAAGAAACTGAGCCAGAGCCAAGGCTGAAGGTGTAACCCTGTGGCGACTGCTGAGTAGCCTGGTCGTCAACCCAAGAAGCGTCTGAGTGTCCAGTGAGAACGACTGGGCTCCCTCCTCCAAGCACGAGCCCCATGCCCGATGTACTGCACAAGTAGCGCAATACCCTCTTTGCAGCATCCCAGTGCACCTTTCGGTGCCTGCCAGGAGCCACATAGCGGGCCAGAAGGCCAAGAGGGTATGCTAGGTCAGGACGAGTGCAAGTCATCAGGTACATGAGGCAACCAACTAGCTCTGGGTAAGGACCACTCGGCTCTACGGACTCATCCGAAGGTAGAGCTGAGAGTGAGTGATCTATAGCCCGAGGAGTGGCCTGTGCTGAGGACCAGTTGAAGCCAAAGCGCTGAAGGACCTCCTGCACCATGTATGACATGGTGAGCCCCACGCCTTATGTCATCGCTAGGTACTTCGCCACCCTCATAGCAGTTGTCTAATGAACAGGATGGTGTCTCCCTGGCGCAACAAAGCGAGCAAGGATGCTGAGAGGGAAGGCGAGGTCCGGGCGATTACAAGTCATCAGGTACATGAAGCAACCCACAAGTTCCGTGTAAGGACCACTGGCTCAAATGGCTTGTCGGAAAAAGGGACCAGTGAGTCTGTGGTCAACGGCAAGAGGTGTGCGCTGTACGGTGGAGCGCTGAAGCTCGAACCGCTGAAGGACCTGTTGCACCATGTGTAACTGTGAGAGTGTAATGGTGCGAGCGGCTTAAACCCTTGTGACCTGCAGGCCTAGGTAGTGGCGCAGCTCACCAAGGTCAGTGCACGTGTGTCTCTTCTGCAGTTCGAACTTCACGTCAGCCAAAGCAACCCTGTCAGCAGTGGCAAAGACTTGGTCGTCAATGTAGACCAGTACAAAGAACGGTGTAGAGCCACGACGAATGAACAGCGACGGGTCGGTAGAAGACGGCTGGAAATCGAGGTCAGACAGGGTAGAGCGAAGGGTGTTGTGCCACTCACGAGGTGCCTGACGGAGACAGTAGACCGGTCGCCTCAGCCTCCACTGGGTCCCAGGAGGGAAAGTGAATATGAAGGTAGAGAGACGAGGCGACCATACCTCCTCGTGTAGGCTACCCTGAAGGAAGGCAGTGGAGAAGTCGAGAGAGTGTAACTCGTAGTCTCTATGTCCTACTACGTGCAGTAACACTCGAAGAGTGGTCATCTTCGGGGTAGGCACGAAGATCTGAAAGAAGTCAACTCCCTCGCGCTGGTTGAAACCTCTAGCCACATAGTGCGCCTTGAAGACCGGAGGAGATCCCGGTGGCCGCTTCACCCTGCAGATCCACATGCCATCGACTATGTTCGCCCTAGGGGGGGGAACCTTGTCGATGTAGGTGCCTGTGGATCTGTAGGAGGCCATCTCTGAGTCCATGGCAGCTCTCGACTTAGAGGCCCAAGGCCCTGACACTGCCTCAGCGTAAGTGCGAGGAGTCGGTATGTCAAGGGCGTCGGGGTCTCCCTCAGGGACGAACAGCATGGCACAAAGATGAGGGGAAGCGGCTGCCAGGAACTCCAGCTCAAACTGCCTGTCCTCTAGGGCGTCACAACCAAGGACAGGCTCACCCTTGACGGCCAGAGGACTGGTAGGAGGAGCAGCCACTACACGAGTGGCATAGTCAAGGCCCTAGTAGTGGCGAACTCAGTGACAGCGGCAGTAAGGGCGGAGGCAGAGGACAGAGAGGCACGAGGGTGTGTAACAAGAGAGGTGAGAACACGCGAGAGAACAGGATGGTACGTGCGGTAGTAGTCAGTGACAGGAGTAGAGAGGGAAGTAGTGAGGGCCGACTTAGGAGGAGAAGGAAGCACAGGAGAAGAAAGCACAGACGGAGACGAACGAGGCGGAAACGGAATGATGGTGGACTATTGTGGGTTGGGGTACATAAACCTATCCCTACTGTTGTACCCCATATGACACGCATCACTAAAGGCTACAACATTTGACAATGAAGTTCGGAGACTCATGGCGCAGCACAAATTCGATTTTCGAGTTTCAGGTATGCACTTTGATATACTGGCATCTTCGTTTGTGTGAGGGGTCCTCTTCGTAAGAGATTGATATGAAACTTTACCTCATTATCATGGGGGGTTGAATAGTGTTCTGGAGAAAAACAAAATGTAAGCACATAATTTCAGCAAATTGTTTAGCGTATTCCGATCGATAGTATTAAATACTTTCTGAAGTTTAAGAAGCAATGATTCTGATAACTTTCATACTTGTTCTCTTCCAGTTTGAGCTTACCATACTGGATGCAATGCAGCTTCAATTTCTGTGGACTGAACACTTGGTTTGGTGCAATTTCAATATCACAACTGCTGGCTATCAATCCATGTCATAACCCATCTGATACAGTACCTTCAACTCACTAACTTTGGCCAGCTACCAGCACAAACTCCACTCCTCCCCAACTGTGCGACTCCACCCGAATCCAATCCTCCTCTTTCCCCCCTGCTCCCATGCCTGCTGCGCCACCCACTGCGGAATCTCTTTCCTTAACCATGTCTGACGCGGCATCTGACGTGGCAGCTGACGTGGCACATGGTGCTGCAGGGAAAAGCAGGGAGTGACCCTCGTTTTGAAACACGGCCTCTCCTCTCGGACCAAACATCGCCACGCCCTGTGTTTAGGAATGGGGTGGTGGTGGGAATGAGGTGGTGGTGGTGGGAGTTAGGTGGTGGTGGGAGTTAGGTGTTGGTGGGGCAGACAGCGGAGGAGTCGAGTGGAGATTATTCATAACAGACAGATAGGCACATGGCACGGACAGATACACTCGAGTTACTCTACAAAAAGTTTCAAAAGTGGCCATCCATTCTGAAACACGGCCTCTCCTCACGGGTCAAACAGAGTCACGACCTTTGAGTGGGAAACAAGGGGTTGGTGGGAATGAGTGGGTGGGGCAGCAGACGGTCAGCAGGACAGCTGGCATTGCAATGAATGCAGGGGGGGGGTTGTAGGTAGCGGTAAGGTCAAGTGGGTTGTAGGTAGCGGTAAGGTCAAGTGTGTTGTAGGTAGCGGTAAGGTCAAGTGTGTTGTAGGTAGCGGTAAGGTCAAGTGTGTTGTAGGTAGCGGTAAGGTCAAGTGTGTTGTAGGTAGCGGTAAGGTCAAGTGTGTTGTAGGTAGCGGTAAGGTCAAGTGTGTTGTAGGTAGCGGTAAGGTCAAGTGTGTTGTAGGTAGCGGTAAGGTCAAGTGTGTTTTGAGTGTTTCAAGTGAGTCGACTCAAAACACACCAAGCAGTGCGCGGGTAGTGCAGATGCCTGGGCGGGGCAGCAGGCAGGCAGCAGGACAGTTGGCATTGAGATTGACGCAGGGAGGTTGTGGGAAGTGGGGATGGGATGGCAGTAAGTAAGTTCACGCAGCAGAAAAGAAGCAAGTATGGGGACGTGAGCAGGATTGGCAAAAGGCAGATCAAGAATCAGTTATTTCATTGCTGACAGAGATAAAAACGACAAAGAGAAGCGGCACGAGCCACACACAGACAGAGACATGACACAAAAACGGATAAGAGCACAGAAAAGCAGGCGCAACAGGGAGTTTTTTAGAATTCTCAAAAACATGAATACTTCTGAATCTGGCATGTATGATCCAGTCCGGGCTGCCCAAAAAAAATCTCAATCCCAAAGATACTATTCAGAGCACCCCAATATCCTCTCAATCTCAACCATACAAGACACCCCACCTCGAGCACGTATATGAGGGCGGACTGAGTGCGGGCCAATGGGATGTTGACAGCTGTCCCTGGCCGCATGTACACGTGCAGCATGAGCTGGGGGATGGTGGGGGTGGGGGGGGAAGGCGGGGAGGGGGGAGGGGGAGGGGAGGGGGTAAGGCGGGGAGGAGGATTGGAGGGATTAGTAGGGGGTAAGGGGGACCAATGGGATGTTGACAGCTGTCCCTGGCCGCATGTGCACAAGCAGCATGAACTGGAGGGTGGGGGGGAGGGAAGGGGGGAGGGAGGGAGTAAGGCAGGGAGGAACACTGGGTGGAACGGGAGGGAGTAAGCGGAGAGGGTAGAGACGGGTGGGGAAAGGGAAGGAGAAACAGGGCGAAGGAGATAAGGGGACTGAGGTTGTGAAAGGAGAACGGTTAGGAGTTGAGGGGGTTGGAAAGGGATTGAGGAAGGTTGGGATGGCGGGGACGTTCGATTGAAGGGCAAGAGTTCGGTGAGCGAGAGAGTGCAGATGACACGAAGAGAGAGTGCAAATGACACGAAGGAAAAGAGGGAGAGAGAGTGCAAATGACACGAAGGAAAAGAGGGAGAGAGAGTACAAATGACACGAAGGAAAAGAGGGAGAGAGGGTGCAAATGACACGAAGGAAAAGAGGGAGAGAGAGTGCCAATGGCACGAAGGAAAAGAGGGAGAAAGAGTGCAAATGACACGAAGGAAAAGAGGGAGAGAGGGTGCAAATGACACGAAGGAAAAGAGGGAGAGAGAGTGCAAATGACACGAAGGAAAAGAGGGAGAAAGAGTGCAAATGACACGAAGGAAAAGAGGGAGAGAGGGTGCAAATGACACGAAGGAAAAGAGGGAGAGAGAGTGCAAATGACACGAAGGAAAAGAGGGAGAGAGAGTGCAAATGACAGGAAGGAAAAGAGGGAGAGAGAGTGCAGATGACAGGAAGGAAAAGAAGGAGAGAAAGTGTCAGAGAGAGGAAGTTGTAAGCGAGGGGCGGAGTGATGTGTGGGAGTGAGGGACGATAGTGACAGTGGGGATTAAAGAAATAAGGACTCGCGGAATGACATAAGGACTCCGCGAGTGGCAATGAGAAGGACACAATAAAGTGAAACGGAGAAACAAAGTGTGAGAGAGAGCGAGTGAGAAAGCGAGAGCAAGACTGACAAAGTGTGTGAGGGGTGGAGGAGTGCAAACGTCCCTGAACCGCCCAGCCACCACCCGAACCTGCGCTGCCCCCGACCCTTGCGCCTCCCTCTCTGCCCCCGCGTTCCCCCCTTCCTCCCCTCCGCCTCGCCCCTCCCCCCTTTCCCCCTGACCAGGGGGAGCAGGGGCGGCGGGGAGGAGCACGCAGGGCGCAAGAGCGGCGGAGCGGAGGTGAGAGAGGAAAAGATGGGGGGGAGGGGGAGGGAGAGGGGCGGAAGAGGCGGAAGTAGGGGGCGAGGGGGAAGAGGGGGCGGAAGAGGAGGCGGGAAGTGACATTTCACCATTCCCCCCCCCGATTTTAATGTCTGAGGCCCAGAAAACTTCGATTCCGCGCCCCTGCGCTTGCCCTCCCCCTCCCGCGTTCCACTCCCCTTCTCTCCCCCAGTCGATCTCCCCCCAATCTTCCGCCTCTTCCCCCCACTCCTCCTCGTCATCCGCCTTTCCCGCTTCCGCCAGCATGAACACTAGGGACTCAAGCGCGCGTCCGGGGGGAGCGGGGGGGAAGCGCGAGCGAGGGGAGGGAGAAAAACTCGTCAACCGCAATAATGGGGGAAAGGGGGGAGGTTGCGCTGATTGCTTTCCCGCTTTCCGCCTCTCCGCCTTTTCCGCTCCCGCCTCCCCCACTCCACCCGCCTCTGCTTCTCCGCAGGCCAAATGCGCGCGCGGTATCCCCTTCGGCGGAAACTTTACTCGCGGTGATTGTTTCCATTGCGCGTCTGCTCACTCCCCCGCTTCTCCGCGCAGTCCGCGCAGTCTCCGCTGCTGCAACCGCCCCCCCTCCCCCTTCCCCTCCGCCGCACAACTGGTGCGCAACCTCTGGCGCGGAGGTTCGACATGTTGCAAGCTCTGATGCAGAGTATTTTGGAATTTCCGCGCGCCGTTCTCACATTTCCCCGTGCCTCGTAGACGCACTCGGTGTGCCTTGAAGGCGTCTAGGTTCAACGCATTTAAATGTACTCGAATTCCTAGAGTACGAGCACCATCAGCGCCACACCTCACCGCGCCGCAACCGAAACGATTTGACCATTGTCTTTGGCGGCAAGCGCTGCAGTCGAACTGCGAGAATTGCCGAGCCTGCAATGCTAACGAGGCACCCGAGGCTAAGGGCGACACGATGCTGATAATAGTCCTCGGAGGGCCGAGAAGACGAGCGGAAGCCATAGAGCCGAGGTAGTATTGAATTCGTCGAGAATTCAAGAATTCATTCATAGCAAACTAGGCTTGCGGGTGGTAGTGGGAAGACCTCGCCCGAATCCCTCCGCGGAAACCCGTTCGCCCCTGCGGGTTTTCCTCGGAGGGATTTTCGTTTTCCCGCAGTCGCCTAGCGGGGCACGCGAGGGGCGGGAGCCACCCCCCCCCTCCCGCCCGAAAACGGGCACCCCCAGCTGGCGCCAGCTGCCGATGACGCCAGCTGCCCGCGCCCTCGAGCTGGCAGTGGTCCCCCTCCCAACCGAGCCCAACCCCTTGCTCGGTTCGTGGACGGGTTCCGTCCGGTAACCCACCCATCCCTCGCCGAGCGACGCATCGCCGACGGAACCAGTTTGCGAAATTTTGCCGGCTAGACGAAATCGACGCCCATCTGCGCCGCGCTCCACCGCTCTCGCCCTAGACGGGCCCGTTTCGTTCAAGCCGCTCGATCTTGGTGACGTGTCGAAGGCCCCCTCCCGAACCTTGGAATGGGCCTTTCAGCTGCATGCAAGGCGGCCCACCCCATGCTACCAACAACCAGGTTTCACGTCGAGGCCAATAGGGCCCCGCCGGCCTCCGCGAAGAGCTCCTCCCTCCTCCTCCCGCGTCTCGGAACGCGCCCTGCCTCCTCGCCCTTGAACCCCCCTGGTCCGTCGCGGTGGGAGGGATGGCAAACAGCTAATACCCTGCGTCCGGTCTCATTTTGTTGCTGTTTCCGATTTTTACTTCCCTACTTCCTAGTCCCTGCTAGTTCCCAACTCCCCTGCGCGCCCGCCCTCTCCACTGCTAGGCCTGACATGGCTACGGGCCCCGCCTCTGTACCCGTCATGAACGAGGCGACGGTTCGACGCGGCCTCATCCTTAGTGCAGGCGGGGTCGAGGTGGAGTTGTACGAGGACCAGCTGAATGCGATTAGAGAGGCGCCGAAAGGGGAGCTCGACGAGAGCATGATGGTCGCGGGCGTCGTGTACGTGTCCTGTCGAACATTTTCGGTTTGCCATGTTTCGGTTTACCTATCGCTGACGTTGCCTTAGCTTTCCGTGCAGCCTGTTCTGTCATGAGCTGCTGTCCGTCGAGCAGCTCCCCAAGGTGTCGATCGTGACTCCGGCGCGTGCGCGTGAAGAGATGGCCCGTCCCACCCCGGTCGCTTTTGCGAACAACCACCTCGACGGCCTCCTCGGCAAGCAAGTGGTTTTCGTTCTGCTGCGGACACCGTGAGTTCGACACTCTCCCGTCGCCTTGCGTGCTCCGTCTTTAGCCCTGAACCCGTTCTCACGTGCATTGGCTCTGCATGCAGACTGAGTGTGCCTCCGTTCTCCCACTCGAGCCTGTTTGTGGTATCGCGCCCCGACGATCTGCTGGCTCCGAGGCACCGTGGCAGTCGAACTCGAATGATGCACTTCGATTCGAAAGACAAGTTTCCCGATATGAACCACCAATCTTCTCTGGCGCAAGAAGTTTTCGTGTGAGTGACAGCTTTGCCACCCTGCTCTCGAGCTGTTGTTCTCGAAAATCTTACTCTTCTGTCCGCTGCGTCGCAGGGGGATGAAGAAGCAGCTTCGCGCCAAGTACGCGATGACCCACCAGGCTCTGACCGAGGACGACCAAGAAGTGTTGAACGTGATGGACCTTCGACTGGAGTTGAACGAGGATTTCGACCATCTGGTAAGCTCTCCTTAGACCACCAGCGTTTTTGTCGAGCATGTGTTTTGTCGCTTACGTATGTTTTGTACCCGTCGCAGACGACGACGGCCTTGTCGAGCCCCTATCAAAACGGCGCGGCAGCTCGTGTCGTGCATGGGGTGCGCCGGATTCTGTCGAAATGGGATGACTTCATCCTACAGCCTCGAAAGGGCGAACTCGTGCATCTAGGGAGAACGAACCCTGGCCCGGGTGTGCTTCCGTTGTTCATGGTCAAGCTGTTTTCGAGAAAGATCGACCAGCTGGCTGAGGGAGCAGGTGTGGGAGGGGGTGCCGACCACGAGGGAGGAGGCGAGAAGACGGGACGTGTCGTGATTGAGTACAGCGTCGAGGAGGAGGAGGAGGAGATCGAGGAGGATACATCGAGGCAGGCTCAGCATGGGGCGAGCGGCCCGGGCGGCGATGCGAACCAGGACGAGGACTCGAGCTCGGGATCGAGCTCCGGCTCGAGCTCGAGCGATGAGTCAGTCGAGGACGACGGCGAGGGCGCCGGACATAGAACGGAGCGTACGGGGGAGCACGGAGTGGCGCTCGGGGAGCGGGTGGACGAGCGAGTAGAGCTTATCGAGTAGCAGGCGATAGGGGAAACTAAGGCTGTCGAGGAGCAGGAGGGCGGAGCGGCTGCGCAGGAGGGTGGGGTCGGAGGGCAGCAGCAGGTGGTGGGCGAGGCGGCTGCGCAGGAGGGCGGGGCAGGAGGGCAGTGTCAAACATTATATATGTTGTGTTAGTTTAGGCTACAGTGGGTTAGCCTATAGGGGGTACACAATTCTAGGGTTAGGTACTTGTACTCATTTCACTGCTAGTTCATTCATTCCTGTTCAGTGATTCCAACATGGTATAGAGCAGGTCCTTCCTAGGACCGAAATTTTCTAAGGGCCCACCACTACGTAACTACCTACCTACCTGTGCCCTAGGGCGCCTCGGCGTGTCACGCCCCTAGAGACCCCTCTTGACGGCCCCGCGCTAGCCCCGGTCAGGCCCCGTTGGCCCCATGCCCGCTCTCCCTAGCGGCCCCGTTCAGGCCCCGTCGGCCCCTTTAAGGCCCCATTCAGGCCCCGCGCTAGCCCCGTTCAAGCCCCGTCGGCCCCGTTTCAGGCCCCGTCGGCCCCGCGCTAGCCCCTCTCAGGCCCCGTCGGCCCGCGCTAGCCCCGTTTCAGGCCCTGCCGGCCCCGTTTCAGGCCCCGTCGGCCCCGCGCTAGCCCCTCTCAGGCCCCGTTGGCCCGCGCTAGCCCCGTTTCAGGCCCCGTTGGCCCCGTTTCAGGCCCCGTCGGCCCCGCGCTAGCCCCTCTCAGGCCCCGTCGGCCCGCGCTAGCCCCGTTTCAGGCCCCGTCGGCCCCGCGCTAGCCCCTCTCAGGCCCCGTCGGCCCCACGCTAGCCCCATTCAGGCCCCGATCGGGCCCGCGCTAGCCCCGTGGGCCCCGTTTCAGGCCCCATCGGCCCCGCGCTAGCCCCGTTCAGGCCCCGTCGGCCCCTTGCTAGCCCCGTCAAGGCCCCGTTTGGCCCCGCGCTAGCCCCGCTCAGGCCCCGATCGGCCCTGCGCTCGCCCCTCTAGGGCCCCAACCGGCCCCGTGCCGACCTCGCCGACCCGTGCCCACCACCTAGAGGCCCCGGGCAGCCCGTTCCCGCCGCAGCACACGAGGGAGAGCGGGCGGCCCGTCCCCGCCGTGACCCGAGCCGCGCGCCCCCGAGCCGAGTCGCGCGCCCCGAGCCGAGCCGCGCGCCCTGAACCGAGCCGCGCCACCCAGCCGAGCCGCGACCCGACCTGAACCGAGCCGCGCCGCCCTGCCCTACCTGGTTCGTCCTACCTGCTTCTCCTACTGCTACTACTGCTATTTCTACTATTCCTATGGCTAGCCCACAGGTTCTCGTGTTCGATGCTGAGGGCCGCCCTGTGAAGTTTGACACCTGGCTCGATGACCTGCACCTCTACCTACAGCTCACAGCCAAGGATGACATGTCACTGTACGATCACGCTCTAGGCCATGTCACTGCCCCTGCTGCTACTGCTGATAGCACTGCTTGCTCACAGTGGCAGACTCGTGATGCCCACGCTCGCTTCGCCATTCGCAACTCCCTGCCGATAGACGAACGCGAGCACTTTGGTCAGCACAAGACTGCACAGGCACTGTACACTGCTGTAGTTGCTCGCTACTCCTCACCTGCCTCTGCCGCACTAGGCCGTCTCTCCCTCCCCTACCTGTTTCCCGACCTGGCCTCCTTTCACACAGTCACTGACCTCATCACGCACCTCCGTACTAGTGAGGCCCGCTTCCGTGCCGCCATGCCTGCTGAATTCCTTGCCACCCACCCCCCTCCACTCTGGCTCACTCTCTACCACCTAGTCACCCGCCTCCCTGACACACTGCGTGCTGTCAGGGACCACTTCCTAGCTCGTTGCCCCACTGAGCTCACCATTGCCCTCCTCGAGAAGGAGCTACTTGCAGCTGAGACTAGCATAGTCGCTGTAGGTGCCTCTCGTGGCGACCCCCGTACCCCGTTCTTTGAGGGGTGTTCTCCTTCCCCCCTTCTTCCCTCGGTCGCCTCTGCTGCTGCTGTCGACCTTCTTGGTACTGAGAAGGTCGGCGCTGCGTCTGCCTCGAGCGGACGCCGCAGCGGCAAAGGCAAAGGGGGCAAGGGTGGTGGCGGTGACGGCGGGGGAGGCGGCGGTGGGGGCGGTGGAGGCAGTGGGGGTGGTGGCTCGGCTGGAGGGGCGAGTGGTAGCGGGTGGGGGTGGTGGCGGCAGCGGCGGGGGAGGTGGCAGGAGTGGAGGCGGCGGTTGGGGTGGCGGTGGACGAGGCGGCGGCAGGGGTTGGGGTGGTCGAGGAGGTGGCAGCGGTGGTGGTGGCCGTGGAGGCACTGGCGGTGGCCAGGGCCACCAGCACACTCCCTCGCCCCAGGTGGTCCGTGAGTGGTACTCTCAGCACGGGGGTGGGGGTGGTCTTAGCTGCACGTACGTCATTCGCACTGGTGACCGCACTGGTCAGCAGTGTGGACGACCGCACGCCACACAGCGCTGCTTCTCTCGTCTCGACGACGCTTGGCGTGTTCAGTTCCCTCAGGCCACTGAGCTGCCCCGCTGGCTTGATCTCCTGAAGAAGGGGATTGATATCTATGCTCTAGACTTTGATGCTATTCTATCTGCCATGTATGTGATGTCTACTAGTGGAGAGGGTACTGAGTACTTGTGTGTGCCGCCCGACCCGGGCATTAGGGCCAGTGCGTCTGCCGCTCCAGGTACTCGCGTGTCGGCTACCCCAGGTGCTGGTGAGGCTGCTGCTCTAGGTGCTCGTGTGTCTCCCCCCCTTGGTACTGCTAGCGTTGACTGCTGCACTGCACACCTTCACACTGGACTCAGGTGCTTCTCGCTGCTTCTTTCGTGACCGCACTGCCCTTGAGCCGCTTGCTCGGCCAGTTGCTGTCTCCCTTGCTGACCCCTCTAAGGGTCCGGTCATTGCGACCTCTTCCACTGTCCTTCCCTACCCTGCGGTCCCGTCGGGCACATTGTCAGGTCTCCACCTCCCCTCGTTCTCTACGAACTTGGTGGCAGGATGTGCACTCCAGGACGGGGGTGTTCACCAGTTCACCCCTGCCTACGAGCGCGTGACACACTGCACGTGTGCTCGTACGGGCCGTCACTTGGCTACCTTCACTCGGCAGCCGGGGTCGGACCTGTACACACTGACTACTAAGTCCCCTTAGGTTGCTGCGACTGTGTCCGCGTCTGAGTCAGGTCAGCTGTCCGCCCCCTGCTCGTGTCGCTCTTTGGCACACGAGACTATCCTCTGGCACCACCCGCCTTGGCCACCCGTCTGTGCAGCGGCTTCGTGCCATGCACTCCCGGTACCTTGTCTCTGGCCTGCCCAGGGTCCTTCCTGCCCTCCCACCCTCGCCTGCTCCTACCTGTCTCCCCTGTGTCGAGGGACGGCAGCGCGCCGCCCCTCACTCCTCCTCGTTCCCCCCGACGACTGCTCCCTTGCAGACACGTCCACATGGACGTGTGGGGCCCAGCCCGCGTCCGTGGTCAGGGTCAGGAGAGGTACTTCCTGATAGTTGTTGACGACTACTCGCGCTACACCTCGGTCTTCCCCTTGCGCACCAAGGGTGAGGTCCCTGATGTCTTGATCCCTTGGATCCGCAGAGCCCGTCTCCAGCTCAGCGAGCGTTTTCACTCGGACTTTCCTGTCCTGCGCTTGCACTCTGACAGAGGTGGTGAGTTCTCCTCCGACCTCTTGGCAGCCTACTGTGCTGAGCACGGCATTGAGCAGTCGTTCATGCTTCCGGCTTCTCCACAGCAGAATGGGGTTGCGGAGCGCCGCATTGGCCTGGTCATGGAGGTCGCTCGAACCTCCTTGATCCATGCGGCTGCCCCCCACTTTCTGTGGCCGTTTGCGGTCCGGTACGCTGCACATCAGCTCAACCTCTGGCCCTGTGTCTCCTTGCCGCAGACCTCGCCCACGGCTGCTGTGGACGGGGGAGGTTGGCGATGCGTCGCGTTTCCGGGTCTGGGGGTCTCGAGCTTTTGTCCGCGATTCGTCTGCGGACAAGCTCTCCTCCCGTGCTGTTCCCTGCGTCTTCCTCGGCTTTGTCCCGGACGCGTCTGGTTGGCAGTTTTACCACGCCACCATCGCGCCGAGTCTTGCCCTCCCAGGATGTCACTTTTGACGAGTCCGTCCCCTTCTATCGCCTCTTCCCCTACCGCACTGCCCCGCTCCCCCCCCCCGCCTCTCTTCCTTGCGCCAGGTGCTGCTGTTGCAGACCCCCTCCCCCCTCATGGTGCCGCTCCCTCAGGTGTGTCTCAGGTAGACCCGGTTGAGCCTGTTGAGGTAGCTGTCGACTCTCGTCCTGCTGGGGGTGCTGAGCCTGGGGGTGTGGAGCCTGGGGGTGTGGAGCCTGGGGGGTGTGGAGCCTTGGGGTGTGGAGCTAGAGGGTGCTGAGCTTGGGGGTGTGGAGCCATCGTGGTGCTGAGCTGCGGAGTCCGGAGTCTGGGGGTTCTGAGTCTGGAGGTACTAGGCCTGGGAGTCCTGCACCTGGAGGAGCCCTCTCCTCGGAGCAGCTGCGTGCGTGGTACTTAGAGTACTGGCAGCCTCAGGAGAGGTACCGCTCGAGCCGGACGTACTACTGGGACTGGTGCTAGTGCTTCTTCTCCCGTTCGGGAGCTCCCCTCTCGCGAGCGGATCCGTGAGTGGTACGAGCGGCGCTGCACTCTTCGGAGTGGCGTGCCTCGTGTTCCGGACCCCGCTGCTGTTGGAGCTGCTGCTGGTGCTGAGGACCCGGGCGTTGGAGCTGCTGCTGGTGCTAGAGGACCCCGGGCGTTGGAGCTGCTGCTGGTGCTGAGGACCCGGGCGTTGGAGCCGCTGCTGGTGCTGAGGACCCGGGCGTTGGCGCTGCTGCTGGTGCTGAGGACCTTGGCGTTGAGCTGCCGCTGGCGCTGCGGACCCGGGCGTTGGAGCTGCTACTAGGTGCTGAGGACCCGGGCGTTGGAGCTGCCGCTGGTGCTGAGGACGTGAGCGCTGGAGCTGCTGCTGGTGCTGGTGCTGCGGACCCTGGTGCGGGTGTCCCTGCTGACTCTGGTGTCGCTGCTCGGTCTTGGCCGTACTTTGTTCCGCTCCTTCAGCAGGTTCTTGGTCAGCTTCCTCCTCCTTTTCCTCCTCCCTCCTTAGCGTGTCCTCCGCCTGTCCAGCTGCTGTCGGCGTTACCGTCTGCCTCCTCTCTCCCTGGTCCTGCTCCTTACACTGGTCCGACTGGAGGTCTTACTGAGCGGCGTGAGCCTGCGTCTCGTCCTGCGCCGCCTGAGTCTCGTCCTGAGTCGCCTGTCCGCACTGCTCTCTCTAGTAGTCAAATCCAGCGTCAGCGTCTTCTTGCTGTCCCAGGCACTCACCGGATGGCGCTTCGTCCGTCCACTGCTCCACAGCGTGTCCCACTGCCATCTCCTCCTGCTTCCTCTCTTCCTGCTCTTGCTGACCCTGGGTCAGACTCTCTTTGTGCTATCAGTCCTACTGTCACGCGTCTCCTGGCTACTGTTGTCACTGACCCTTCCTTTGAGTCCGCTGCTGCGTCTGCCTTAGTTGCTGAGCTTGTCGACTTTGCTGCTCGCTGTCGTCTAGACTACGCTGCTAGCCTAGTTGCTGAGTCTGAGTCTGTCTGTCCTCCGTCCGTCGGGGGTGAGTGTGCTCTTGGCATTGACGTCCTTGAGGACAGGCAGGAGGAGTTTGAGTGCTTTGCTGCCGCTTTGCCCCATCTCGTGTCCATGCTTGTTGCCCCCGAGGGAGACCCGGATGCACCAGACATCCCGACCCCACGCTCTTACGCAGAGGCGATGGCCGGTCCCTAATCCTCTCAGTGGCAGTCAGTCATGGACACAGAGATGGCTTCCTGGAAGTCCACAGGCACCTACGTCGACGAGGTTCCCCCACCTGGGGCGAACATCGTCAGTGGCATGTGGATTTTCAGGGTGAAGCGGCCGCCGGGCTCTCCGCCTGTCTTCAAGGCGCGTTACGTTGCACGAGGCTTCAGTCAGCGAGAGGGAGTTGACTTCTTCCAGACCTTCTCCCTGACCCCAAAGATGACCACTCTTCGGTTCTGTTGCACGTCGCCGCTCAGCGTGACTACGAGCTCCACTCGCTTGACTTCAGCACTGCTTTCCTGCAGGGCAGCCTGCACGAGGAGATCTGGCTGCGCCGTCCACCTGGCTTCACTGGGTCGTTCCCTCCTAGTACCCAGTGGAGCCTCCGACGGCCAGTCTACGGTCTCCGCCAGGCGCCTCGTGAGTGGCAGACACACTGAAGACTACGCTTGCGGCTCTTGGGTTCGCGCCTTCTACTGCTGACCCGTCGCTGTTTCTCTACGCACCGACACCTCACTGCCGCCGTTCTACGTCCTTGTGTACGTTGACGACTTGGTCTTTGCTACTGCTGACACTGTGGCACTCGCCCACGTGAAGTCGGAGCTGTAGAAGAGACACACGTGCATAGACCTGGGTGAACTGACAAGCTATCTTGGCTTGCGGATCACCCGGGACAGAGCACGCCGCACCATCACCTTCACTCAGTCACACATGGTGCAGCAGGTCCTTCAGCACTTCCGCTTCACGTACTCCTCGCCTCAGCCCACTCCTCTGCCTACCGGTCACTCGCTCTCAGCTCTGCCTTCGGATGAGTCCGTAGAGCCGAGTGGCCCGTATCCAGAGCTTGTGGGTTGCCTCATGTACCTGATGACCTGCACTCGACCAGACCTTGCATACCCTCTCAGCATTCTTGCACGCTATGTCGCTCCCGGCCGTCACTGGAAGGAGCACATGGATGCAGCTAAGAGGGTGTTGCACTACTTGTGCAGTACGTCGGGCATGGGGCTAGTGCTTGGAGGGCGAGTCCCAGTTGTTCTCACTGGGCACTCAGACGCTTCTTGGGCAGATGACCAGGCTACCCAGCGGTCGTCTCAGGGTTACTCCTTCAGTCTTGGCTCTGGTTCTGTTTTTTGGCGTTCTACTCTCGCTCTTCTTCTGTTCTCAGCTCCAGTTGTGAGGCTGAGATCTACGCCACAGCCATGGCGGCCCAGGAGCTACGCTGGCTCACCTACTTGCTGACCGACCTTGGAGAGCAGCCTCGTTCTCCTCCAGTGCTGTACGTCGACAACAAGGCAGCCATTGCCTTGTGTGAGGAGCACAGACTGAAGCACATTGCTCTGCGTTACTTCCTTGCTCGAGAGCTGCAGCAGCGTGGTCAGCTTCGCCTGCGTTACGTGGCCTCTGAGGCCAACACTGCTGATGTTTTCACCAAGGCGCTTCAGCCTTGTGACCATCAGCGCTTTTGCACTCTTCTAGGCCTTGTGCCTACTAGACCTCACTTGCTTACTTCTTGAGTCTGTTTGTACTGTGATCTCTATATATATACCTGCATGTTTACTCTTGTTAGGTTGTGATCATTGTACCTTTTGCTCTATTATAAACCTGCATGTGAACTGGTCTTGTGACCACTTGCTTGTGCTCGGAATTTGTGTGGTATCCTTGAGATCCACCCTGAGCTTGTTTTGCCTTGCTTTGCCTTGACTGGTCTTGTGACCCCTAGTTCTCCCCCACTTTGCCTATGGGGGTGTGTCAAACATTATATATGTTGTGTTAGTTTAGGCTACAGTGGGTTAGCCTATAGGGGGTACACAATTCTAGGGTTAGGTACTTGTACTCATTTCAATGCTAGTTCATTCATTCCTGTTCAGTGATTCCAACAGGCCGCAGCAGGAGGGCGTGGCGGCTGCACAGCAGCAGGAGTTTAGGGTTGCGGCTGCGCGGGTGGGTCGGGAGGGCAGGAGCAGGAGGACGGGGAGGCTGCTGAGGAGTATCGTCGAGGAGATGAGCGACAAGCCGCCGTAACAAGGAGTCACCGCACGGCCAGTGGCTGCGGACAGGCGGGCCCTTCGACCGGGTGGCCTTCGACGGCAGGCCAATCGACGGCGAACGTTGCACCCGGAGGCCAGGTCGTCGAGCTACTGCAGAGGGTCGAGAAGGTCGAGGCGTCGCAGAAGCAGCTCGTCGCCGATGTCTTTGCGAAACACACTGAGCAAGCCGGAGTATTCAACAGGCTTGCTGCGGATTTTCGGACGGCGTGGAATACGATTTCGGAGTCGTCGAAGAGCACACTGTCGCAGTGCGCCGAGGCTGTGAAGGGTGTCACGGCGGAGAGGAACCTGTTGGAAGGGGCGCGGGCGAAGATCGACGAGATGAGCGGGAAGATCATCGAGGGGTGGCAGCCACCATCACAAAAGCGAGCGAGGACGCCGTCGAGAAGCAGCTCAAGCAGGTCGAGGAGCGGCTGGTTGCTGCGGTACTGAAGGGTTTCGAGAAAGCCATCATGGAGACATTTTCTGCTCCACCCTCCCACATGAGACCATGAAGGAGCTGAAGGAAATTGTGAA